AAAAGTATTAATTTCTTTAAAAAAAATACTTACACAACTTTTAAACGGTGTTGTAATTGCTGAGAAAAAAAACTAAGATGTTGTTTGAAGGTACACTATTACTTCTCATTCTTTACTGCTATTCTAAAATGAGGAAAATGGTACTAATAGTCATGAAAACTCACCCAAATGGAAGTATGAGAAATCTATACTGATCAAAATGTCATTTAAACATTTGATTCTTTGTGTACAATATGCTGTAAATGCAGACAGAACTGAAACTCCTGTATAGCAGTACAAGTGAAAAGCACAAAGTGTTGTATTTAAATATTAATGTCTTGCATGTTAAACAGATTCAACCCTGATTTTATTGCATCATGTTCTATGATATGTACTTTCAGAAGTCAATCATTTATATAGAGTTTGTATTTACATTCAACTACATGCATTTGTTCCTGAAACAGGAAATGAATGACCTTCCTGTCACTGGTAATAAACCTTGTATTTTTCTTTGTTGACTTAGTTGCATAAAGACTACCATCACCTATGATTGCTAACAAATTGAATTAGGTGTACAGTCTCTAGATGTTTGTAATAAGCACTATTGTGTGAAACCTAATGTATGCATGTTGCACTGAATAAAAAGTAAACCAAAATTGATGTGTTTAAATTATCAGTAAAGACCTTGAAACCGATATATAGCAATAAAAAGGCTTTTATTGCATTATTAAGCTTGATTCTCTCCACATGGATTGGAGAGATGCCATTAAATACAATGAAGAGCAAAAGAGCAAAAAAGCTGGAAGAACAAGAAATGACCAAAAGAGGGCGTCATAGACAAGAGCTTCCTCTCAGAAGAAAAGACATTTCCATGTTGGTTTACATGGGTTCATTTCTTCACGAGTTCAGTTTTTGGCCATTATACGTACATAAACCACAATGATTTACAATAAAGATAAAAAAATAAAAAAATCAGAAGTAAAATAAAACAATAAATACTGCACATTGAACACAATATCGAAATAATGTTTAGCTGCACTTTGACGCTAATAAAATAAATAAACAGAAATTAAGCTATGAAGCCAAACTCTAAACTAAGAAAGGTCTAAAATTAATTAAAAATAGATATATTAATAGGTGTCATATAAAACAGGTTGTGCAGTGCAGTGCAGGTCATTATGGCATGAATCAATCAGGTATGCTTTAAATCAACACAGATCGAGCAACCTTGGGTTTCAGAAATTATGTACTACAGTAATAAATAAAATTGTATTATTATTATTATTATTATTATTATTATAAAATACATCAGTCAGAATAATTTGAGAGGTTATGAAACTCATGCATTGCTCTATAGCTGTGATCTCAAGTGTTGCTATTGAGACATAAAAACAGAGCAAAACATTTAAATCAGTAGACGAGACAAAGGAATAGTTCACGCAAAAATGAAAAAAAAAAAAAAAACTCAGAGATGTAGAGGAGTTTGTTTCATCATCATATTTGGAGAAATCTACGGTGGAGATCAAAATTAGAGAACAATCTACATTTTCCTAAATTTCAAGGTCACTGCTTAGTCCTATTTGAAGTTATCCTAACAGGAGTAGAAGGGCCGTTTTAAGCATATTTCATAAATTAATTGTATTCTGAAGCACAGCATAAAAAAAACTTAAGAGATATTTGAAAAAGTACTCCGATCAAAATTAGAGCACTTACAGATTCCTCCATGTTATTGATGTTAATCTGGCACCTGGTGCTAATTTTCTTAATTATATGACAAACCCTATTTAACTAGCAACATTATTCCCATTTTCACTGAGATTGCAAGATGGCAGGCCGCTCTAAGGTGACTGAAAGCCTGCGACAGGAGGTTATCCAAATGAAGGCCAAAGGGATGACCTTTTCAGCCACTGCAAGAGAAGCTGGTCATTCCAAATCTGTGATTTCTAGAATATTGCAACTTTACAATGACACTAATTCATTCAAGTCCCCCAAAAAGGCTGGTCGTCCATGTAAGACAAATGTAAGAGAGGACAGAATAATACGGAGACTCTCAATGGGGAATCGGTTCAACACAGCAGCTGGAATTGCTTGCCAGTTCAGCGCTGAACAGGGTACGGGTCTGTTTCGGCACGTTTAAGAGAAGTCAGACTGAAAGCACACTCTGCAGTGATGAAGCCTCTCATCAGACTCACCTTTGCTGAGGAGCATGTTGTGTGGAGAGAGGAGAACTGGTCCAAAGTTCACTTTAGTGATGAGAGCAAGTTTAATTTATTTGGGTCTGATGATGAGAAGCATTATGTTCAGCATCAAACTGGGGAAAGACTGAAGCCCGAGTGTGTAAAGAAGTCAGTGAAAGGTGGAGGAGGAAGTGTCATGGTTTGGGGATGTTTTCTGCAGCAGGAGTTGAGCTTCTTATACAGATACATGGCAGAGTGAATGCAAATGTTTATCAGAACCTCCTTCAGCAACATGTGGTTCCTTCCTGCAAGCATCTCCCAATCAGCCTGCAATTTTCATGCAAGACAATGCTCCCGTCACAATGCAAAACGGGTAAAGCAGTTCCTTGAAGCCAAGAACACAGAAATAATGAAATGGCCGGCCGAAAGTCCTGATCTAAACCAGATCGAAAATCTCTGGAAAATTCTTGGAGAAAAAATTATGGCTAAGAAACTACTCTACTGTCACTGAACTATGAAAGAGAGTGGAAGAAGAGTGGACCAAGATCACAGCAGCGCAGTGTGAGAGACTAGTGCTGTCCTGCAGCCGCAGATGAGCTGAAGTCATTCAAAGCAGGGCTTCTACACTTCATTTCTGACAGCTGTAACCCTCCAAAATTTTTGTTGTAATCTTCTTTCCTACAACAGTGATTACTATTTTGTAGGCCTGTCGCAATAATCAATATATCGACTTGTCGCACAATAGATGTACATGCCCTCAATAATTTTTGGTGACAATATATTGCCCATTATATTTACATAAAAATTAATGTCACCATGTTTCTTGCATTCCACTTGCGCCTGTGTCTTTTGCAGCTTCTCGAACATAACGTGGTGTAATCTACATCTTGGATGGCCTGAGGATAAGGACATTTTAAACAAATTAAATTTTTGGGTGAACTATTCCTTTAAAAGAACAATGGAATGTGGCAACAGCACATTTCAAAACAACAATAGTTACAGTAAAACTCTGTAAATCATGTCAAAATGGGCCTTAATATGGAGATACTTCATATGATTTGTTTACATTTTGTCTAATTAAAAGAGTTTTCAAAACAATACTAACTTAAGTGGCACTTAAAGCAAAGCAAATGTAAATTTTCTGAGCATGAGCAGGTATTATTGCACTGTTGTTCCTCATGCAAGAAAAAAAAATTGCAGATGAAGAATTTAAGGCTGGAGATCAACATACATATTCTGATCTCTATCACATGGACACTCCATGGAAATTTTATAACAGATGCTGTATACATTATGTACCGTAATGCACGCTGAGCTTGTTACATTACATCTGTCTGTTTGAGATGCGGTTAAGGCCATGTTTAATTTTGGCTTATGGAGGTCTGCTAGTAAACAAAATCGCCAAACAGTGCAAATATTATAGAGCTTAGACGGCTTAGATGACATTTGAATGTTTAAAATTGAGTTTATATATGTCATCAGCTCCAGGACAAGCTGAGTTAAGATTGTTATCTGTATACTGAAGGCAAAAAAGACATTCTGACTGATCACAGAACAGTTTTTAGTGTAGAAAACAGGCACATACATACATGTGTTCGCAATGAGTGGATGTTTCAGGCATTTTGTGAATCAATTATTAGTTCTGAGGTTTGTTTTGTAGTGGTGAGTATTTGTGTGATTTAGTGATTTTAAAAAACAATATATGTTCTATGAATTATAATGCTGACTAATCCCACTATTTAATAATTCATAAGGGTTTGATTTATAGTATTAATAAAAAAGGATTTATTAACCCTCTAAGCGCCAAAGTCGCAAAATTGCGACAAGACAACATGGTGTAATATCTAATTTGTATTCCCTACCACTAGATGGCAGACATGTAGTACTTCGATTCTAGACCAAAATTACGTCACGTTCCTATTCAAAGTGTTCGAGGAAATAGCAGAGCAAGTGAGCTATCCTGTCATTGATGCAGAAGCAGTTCAGCTCATAGCGTGCAAGTAAATTGTGAGATTTGTGAGCCAATCGCCACATTATTAGCCAATCGCCAAATGGCTAATAAAAAGTTGTACCGTGAGGATGTGTTACAAATGGTATTCACCGATTCTGACTCTGAAGGGGAATATTTGCCTTTTGGAAATGACAATCGGTCGTCTAATGATCGCGCTTCTCCCGGTACATCTTTGCTGCACAATGGTGCCACCGTGCAAGGCGAGAGTGTTCACGAAGCACAAACAAGTGATCATTTCGACCCTTTGCCCAACTGGGATGGGGTGGCAGCGTTGAACGTGGTCGTAGTGTCCATAGGAGAGCTGTTGCTAGAGGTAGAGGCAGCAGGGGTAGGAGAAATAGGGCTGGAAGTAGCACTAGCTCTTTGGATCCAGCGCCCCAAAGAGGTGGGAGTGGCCGCGGTACACGTGGCCATGCTGTGTGTGGGAGAGCCGGGAGACGTGGTAGAGGCAGCAGGGGTGATCTGGATCTAAATAGGGCTGGAAATAGCGATGACAATGGTGGCTGGGTTTATTTGAGAAATGAAGAAGTGTATCAGGACTGGATCAAACACTTTGATGAGTCTGTTGGTTATCTAGGAGAGAAAGATTTGACCAGTTCTGCACCCTTAGACTTTCTGTCCCTCTTTCTGACTGATGACTTCTGGAACCTCATTACAAATGAAACCAACAGATATGCTCATCAGTTTCTAAACTCAAATAAGTTCAAACATCAATTCAATATCTACTATTTCCTGAATATAATGAAATTCAAGATGGCCGCCCCCTGATGACATCATATTATGCAAATTAGACGAGTATATTTACACCCTACATAAACTTTGGGTCATGCCCAACATTTTTCTAATTTACAGTAGATCTCTATCTTTAAGCCATTTTAAGCCACAAGCTTCTGAAATCTTAATGTCAAAATCCAGCATTTTTCCAAAAATCCCTGGCGCCTAAAGGGTTAATATTAAAATCAAACAGAAAAATTAAGCCAAGTCAATCAGTATCTCCTTGACATGCATGAAAACACACAATATTTGCTTTTCAGTAAATAGATGCACACATGGGTTGATCTCATAATTGTCCATGAATCTATTTGCTCATTGCTGAGTGTTAAGAGTGGAAACTGTGTGTGTGTGTGTGTGTGTGTCTCGCCTCTTTAGCTCAACAGCTCCAGATATGTAACAGGCACTGTCCCCTTCTGGTTTCCTCTCTCTCCAATCAGCCAATCAGAGTCCATTCCAGGCACTGTGTACACAGTGATGAGCTGATCGTCCAATCAGAGAAGAGAAATTAATTAATTTAGAGTCTTAATGCTTTTCAAGTAAATAGATATAGCAAACATTCTAAATATTCAACAATATTTAAATAAAATGGCTTAAAAGGAATCATCAATTCAACCAAATGGTAAATGTAGCCAAATATATTACAAAATGTTTAATCCAAGAACCATAGCACATTAAAAATCTAGTTTGTTAATGTTTTCTTCACTGTTCGTCACTATATTTACAATGTTTAATTTCACATTGCCAGCAAAATCACTGTCAAAATCACTGTCAATATATTTGAATATTCAATATATTTGAATATATTCAAACATTCACAATTCATTTAATTTTAACATTAAAGTGACATACAATGAACATTAATTAAAATGAATGTGGTATTGTCAATTGAAACAGAATATTCAGTGAGAAATAATTTATGGCGGGACTTCATTTTATTCATCACAACTTGATTGGATCATGAAAAGTTGGCTATGATGAAGTAAACAGATGGTTATTATAGGAAAAAGGTTAAATATTCAACAATATCCAAATGAAATGGATTTAAAAAAAAAACAATTTCAATTCAACAAATCAATTCAACTAAACTATCACTATAGCCAAATATATTTTAAAATATTTAATGCAAAACACATAAAAAATCTAGTTAAAAATACCATGGTATGTTTTCTTCATTGTTTTTAACTATTTTCACAATATTTCACTTTACATTGCCAGTAAAATCATTGTAAATATACTTCAATATTTAAAATATCACCCATTTTTACTAAAATAAATAAATGAATAAATAACTAAATTAAATTAAATAAACTAGCCTAAATCAACTTATTATGCATTTAATCACCATGAAAGACCACTCACAATTCATTAAATTTTTACATTATTTTGACACGATAAGCCTCAATTTTAAATAAAATTAATGTGTCATTTTCAAGTGAAACAGAATATTGGGTAAGAATTTATGGTGGGTCTTAATTTTATTCATCACAATTTGATTGGATCATTAAAATAGTCTACAATTAAGTAAATAGATGGTTTTTATAGCAAACATTTTAAATATTCAACAATATTCAGATGAAATGTCCTAAAAGAATCAGTTCAACCAAACTGCCACTATAGCCAAATATAATAAAATGTTTAATGCAAGAACCAAAACACATTAAAAATCTAGTTAAAAATGATCACTGTATGTTTTTTTCAATGTTCTCAACTATTTTCACAATGTTTAATTTCACATGGCCAGCAAACTCTTTGTAAATATATTTAAAAATTCAATATATCACCCATTTTTACTTAAAAAAAATAAAAAAATAAATAAATAAACTACCCAATATCAACTTATAATGCATTAAATCATCATGATAAACCTTTCACAATTCCTTTAATTTTAACATAAATGTGACATATAATAAACATTCATTTTAATTTTAATTAATGTGGTGTTTTCAACAGAAACAGAATATTCAATAAGAAATAATTTAGGATGGGACCTAATTTTATCCATCACAATTTGATTGGATCATGAAATGTGAGCTAGGATATTATGCAATTATAATACAGTATTTTCACAGCCCCTAACATCCCTTTTTAGACCCATATCAGACCATTTATCTTCCATCAAACATCTGCTCACCTCATCGGCCCGCAGCGAGAGCTCACTGGAGTCTGCAGCGTCGTAGTCATACAGCACTTTAGCCTTGCGTGTGCCGCTGGCGGGCGGCTGAACTTCTTCAATCTGCAGAGTGTCTGTTTCCAGCGGAGATGGAGAGTTCAGTGGCAGGAACGCAGACGGGTCTGTTGGGCTGCCGGCGGGGTGGGAATTCACCTCCAATGAGTGAGGGGATCTTCTGAAAGAGAAAAGATTGATGGAGGAGACACTATGAGGGCTCTGCAGACTAATGTGTTCACTAACAAGACAACAAACTAAAAACTCACATGTCTCCACTGGAACTGCGAGCAGATGGGTGGGGAAAGTAAAACAGGTGTTTATAATAATGACATGTCCTCAGCCTCAGGCCATCCGAGATATAAATGGGTTTGTTTCTTCATCAGATTTGGAGAAATGTAGCATTGCATCAGTGTCTCAGCAATGGATGCTCTGCAGTGAGTGGGTGCCGTCAGAATGAGAGTCCAAACAGCTGATAAAAACATCACAATAATCCACAAGTAATCCACACCACTCCAGTCCATCAGTTAACATCTTTTGAAGCCAAAAGCTGCGTGTTTGTAAGAAACAAATCCATCAATAAGTCATTTTTAACTTTTTACTTTTAACATTTAAATCGTTGCTTCAACCTAAAATATGAGTCCATAATCCATAACATTGCTTTCTCGTCTGAATCAGGATAGAAATATGCTCAGATCAAGCACTGTTTACAAGCCAAAACAGTCCAAAACAGCTCTAAACAAACATGTAGGTGTGAGAGAGACCATGTGAGAGACAACAAGAGATGGACTTTTTCACTGGAGGAAGTGTTATTATGGACTCTTATTTTAGCCGGAAGCGATGGCTTGAAGTTAAAAACGCCTTAATGATGGATTTGTTTCTTACAAACACGCAGCTTCTGTCTTCTCAAGATGTTAACTGATGGTCTGGAGTGCTGTGGATTATTGTGATGTTTTTATCAGCTGTTTGGACTCTCATTCTGACGGCACCCATTCACTGCAGAGGACCCATGGAGAGCGAGTAACGTAATGAAACATTTCTCCAAATCTTTTCCAACTAAGAAACAACTTCATCTACACTTTGGATGACCTGAGGGTGAGTAAATTTCGCATCAAATTTTCATTTTTGCTTGAACTATTCCTTTAAGGTGCACCATGTCATGTTTTCCACTGTAAAATTTAGTAAAGGAAATCTTTAATTTAATAGGTCACGCTTTAACATTAAGTTTCAGTCATTAATATTATTTAACTGTATTAGTTAACATGAACGATCAAAGAACAACACAGAATTTATTAATCCTAATTAATGTGAATTTCAACATTTACCAATACATTTTCCAAATCAAATGCAGTATGTGTAAACATTACAATTGCACAAGATTAATAAATGCTGTAAAAAATATATTGTTCATTTTAGCTAATGCATTAACTATGAGACCTTATTGCAAAATGTTACAATTTAATGCTATATTTTTTATTTCTGAAAAATGATTTGGTGACCCAAATAGCACTTTGCGCATGCATAAGCTAACAGCATGAAATCTGACGCGTGCCCACCTGCCCAGCTCTTTCTGCAGCTCCTGCATATACTTGTGACACTGGCTGTAATACATCGCCTGCACTTCCACAAACTCACACAGGCAGCACAGATGATTCACCTGCGCAGACACAAAAGACGTCCTGTCACTTTAAAACCCACGGCATGCTGTGCAAACACAGACTGCACTTCGTTTGTTTGCATGAGGATAATAGATATTTACGTAGAGTCTTTTAACTATGATTTAACAATGTTTTGAAATGTTATTCTTTGAATTTCAAAGCATGCATATTGAAGGGTTACTATGAAAGCCTTTAAGGCCATCCTGAAAATGAGGGTTATCAAGTGGCTTGTTTACATAATGTTAACCTATTCAAACATACGCTTCTGCTCAGGTGTGTAGCATGTGTTAATGCAGCATGCATGTAAACACGACTCACGTGTGTGCTGCTGATGCCCTCCAGGAGGAGTCTGGTGACCTCAGCCTGTCTGTCAAACTCTGTCTGAGCAACACACAATTCATGCTCTGCCTGCACATGACAGAAAACAAATCCAAAATTGACAAAGGCATAAGCTATATTTGCACTTAAATTACACTTGCAAAAACACTGTTCGCACCAAACGCGAGGCAAATATGCGCATCGCGTCACTCGCTCTAGATTACTCGCTGGATGTTTTTCGCCTCACTCGCACTATTCGCGATACTATATATATACTATATATATAAAAATATCACGAGAGTAATCAACCATGGTGAGGATAAATACAATCGGTGCTTTGTACTATTGTGGAAGTCCCAAAAACGCCGGAAAGTCAAACGCAGACGTGTCTGGGTTCACAGCACCATACAGAGGCACACACAACTCGGTGAATTTCACCGTCTTCCCCAGACAGCTACAATAATGCGCTCCCCCATTTTCTGATACAACCGGACGTGTCAATAAGCTCTTCGATGATTGGCTTGCGTGAGAACGCGTCGGGCGAATTTTCCGCTCGAGTTGAAATTTTTGAACTTGAGCAGAAGACATGAATGAAGCGAATATCGTGTGTTCGCGGAAAACGTGTTGCGCATTTCGCGTCATTCGCAACGCCTGGCACGAATTCGCCTGTATTCACGTCTTTGCATTGACTTTGTATGTAATCTACTCGCACGAATAATTAAATTCGCGTTTGGTGTGAACACACTATAAGACTCTCTTAAGAACAAGTCTAACCAATTTGCAGTTAGTAAAGTCAGTCATACTTTTCGGATACAAATTAGACCAATGTACATTTTGTATAACTGATTTTTTTATGATTTGTCTTCTTTTACTTACTTTTTTTCAGGCAAAACATTTTTTATTTTTAAATATGCCCATTTTCCCATGAGATTCACCCAAATTTAAATTAAAAGGAACATTACATTTTCGTTTTAGTTACAGTTTTAGTCATTTTGTTGTGTTTATAATGTTTTTATTAGTTTTTTTAAAGGGGTCATATGATGTGATTTCAATTTTTCCTTTCTCTTTGGAGTGTTACAAGCTCTTGGTGCATAAAGAAGATCTGTAAAATTGCAAAAACTAAAGTCTCAAATCCAAAGATCTTTATAAAAAGTTAAGAGTCAACCACGCCAACCTAAAACGGCTCGTTCTAACACACCCCCACATGTCTACGTCACGATGTGGGAAGATTTGCATAACGCCGCCCAAATGTTCACGCAAAGAAAGAAGGCGTAACTTTTATTCTCGCTGTAGTATTGTTGTTGCCGCCGCCGTCATGTCGTGAAGGCGCTGTGTGTTTGGTTGTGAAAGCGAAACTACTTTGTTTGGCCTTCCAAAAGAGGACCATATCCGCTTCGGAAGCGTAGTCCAGCCCAGGGTCGTCAAATGTGGTTACTGCAAGCCCGCCCACCGCCGCTCACTCAAGCCGGCCTCCGCTCACGAGAGAAGACTACAATGCTGGCTGTTATGACTCACAGACTGCAAGTACGTTTTTTATATTTAAGGAATTTGCCACTGACGATTCAAACTTTTAAATGTCTATGATTAGGGGCCAAGCACCAAAGCTGTGTAGACACTTATTGTAATCGTTGGGTGTTCTTGTTATTCTTCTTCTGTTTCTCCTTCTTCTTCCATTCTTGAGTCTATGGCAGCCCATAGAACCGCTTGTGTGAAAGTTATTAAATTTAGAACACAGATAGAGGACAGTCTCAACATTAACCATAGCAAGTTTGGAGTCTCTAACTCAAACTCTTTAGCACCACCAACAGGACAAATTTGCACTCATGTTTATGCTAATAACTTTTGAACCGTAAAGTTTAGAAGCAAAATTCTTTTTCCCTCTGATTCCTTGGCTCATGCCATAGACACCAAAAATTAAAATTCTATGGGTCAAGATTTTTCGCAATATTTAATTATACGAAAAACCCTCTTCCTAGACTTTTTGTCTTATTTTCACCAAAATTTGCTCAGATCATCTTCAGACCATGCTGGCAAAAAGTTTGAATTTAAGTTGATTTGTCAAACCATTTTCGAATAATGCATGAATTAATTTGTCGAAGAGCATGCCTGAGACCTGAGTGTACCTGCACAGTTTTGGCACAGTGCCACCTAGTGGTCAGGAAATATGAAAAATTGTCATTTTTGTTTATAACTTATGAACGGTTTGACCAAAAATCTGAATGGTCTCTTTAGATTCGGTGCGACATACCGAGTAGAACAATACCCAATTTTTCCATGTAGATCATTTTAGGCGTCGGCCATTTTGAATTTTGTCGAAGAATGCTGTATTTTACGAATGCATTGGCATATTTTTACAAAACTCTGTATGTGTCATCGGCACCATGTCCTGACAGTACTCAAAAAGTTTCGGGGCAGTGCCACCGTGTGGTCAAAAGTTATAATAAAATTTACTAAATTGCTAATAACTTCTAAGCAAATTAGTTTACTGTAATGAAACTCTCAATATATTCCTTTGGTCATGCCGAGAACATCGATACCAATTTTGCCATAGTCAGACAAACTTCCTGTCCGCTATTTTGATTTTCTTTAAAAAACCTACCTTTTCTAACTTCTCCTACACCATTTGTCCGATTTTCACCAAATTAGAGTCAGATCATCCGCAGACTGTGCCGACAAAAAGTTATGGATTTCATGCCGATAGATTAAACTGTTTTTTGTATACCGCATCAACTAATTTGATGGCATGGTGCCAAACTGCATCTGAGGCTGTATCTCTGCAGAGCTTTGACATATTGACACCAAACTTTGAATGTGTCGTTGTCACCTTACTCTGACCAGATCACATCAGTTTGGTCACAGCGACTCCTACTGGTCAACAGTGATAAATCTTTCAATCATGTTACTGTCAGGATCCTGCCCTGACAGTCTTGTCTGTCCTGTCTTTGTTTAATGTGTCTTTGTTTATTTTGTGCCTGAGCACATGGCTGTGTCTTTGTTTGTGTTGGCCATGTGCTCCTCTTGTCCTGCCTCCTCATTTTCAATCACCACGCCCCCTTGTTTAGTCCTTGTTTGTCCAATTGTGTTCACCTGATCCTCGTGTGCTCTGATCCCTTTATATTGTGCTCATTTCCCTCTAGTCTTTGCTGGCTCGTTTGTGTGTGCATTTGCCGTGCTATTGTCTTTAGTCTTGTTAGAGCGTACTTCTCAGTATATTGCATTCAGTCTAGTTTCCCTCTTGTTAGTTCTAATTTTTTGTTCCTGTGTTTAGTCTATAGTCTAGTTACAGTCCTAGTGGTTTAATTCTTTTATTTTAGTTCCTGAACCTTTTGATTTTTTCCTTTTTTTTAATTTTCTTTCTAGTTTTCAGCAAGGTAGCTGTCTTGATTTTGTTTGTAGTTGGAGTCATTTTTTCCTAGCTTTTCCCTATTATCATCCTTTTGTTTTCATAAGTTCCAGTTTTTTATTTCTAGTACTTATTTTAGTATTTTGTTTTTCCTTTCAGTTTTATTTCCCTATAGTCATAGTTTTGCAAGTTTCTACTTTTGATCTGTGTCTATCTCTTGTCTCTCCTGTTGTCTTGTCTTTGAGTGTGTCTGTCGAGTTGGTTCCTGCCCTGCTTCCTGAGTCCTCCCTGGTCGCTGATTCTTCTGACCTGGCAGACATTTTGGTGCTTCAAGAGTTACCATCCCCAGGGCCAAGCCTGTGGTTCCTTGAGCTGCTACCTAGTCCCCTTTTGCCACAGAGTCTGGAGCTACCCCCATCCCCAACCAGCCTGTTCTCCTGTCGTGTGCCCTGCCCTATTGTGTGGACTGTTTTCCTGTCTCATCCTTTTGTGTTCTCATTTTTGTTAATAAACTCTGTTCCCCCCGTTCATTCTGCATCTTCTGGGTCCTCCCTTGCCAAACCGTGACAGAACGAACCTTGAGGAGACCGCTCTCCCCGTCACTGTCACAGAGGCCAGTCCTGAGCAGCCTGCTCTCCCGGTCACAGTCACTCATGTCAGGTCTGAGCAGTCTACTCCTGTCACGACCATGGAGACCACTCCTAAGCAGCCCACTATCCCGGTCATATCTATGGAGGCCGTTCTCAAGCCGTCAGTCCCCACTGATACGGAGTACGCTTCAGCCCTGGAGCCTCCAGTATCCGCTCGAGCTCCTGACCAGAGGCTAGTGTTGGCCTCTGGTTTAGAGTCTGCTCCATCCCAGTCCTGCCCAGAGTCTGCCTCATCCCAGTTCAGTCCAAAGTCTGTTCCAGAGCCTGTTTCAGAGTCCGCTCCAGTCTTCCAAGAATCCGTTCATGAGTCTGTTCCTGCAGCCCCAGAGGGCACTCAAGAATCAGGTCCTGGGTCTGTTCCTGCACCCCCCGAGGGCAGTCAAGAGTCAGTTCCGGAGTCTATTCCTGTGGCCAAGGAGAGCATTTCAGCAGCCCCCAAGGGCCTTTCAGAGTCAATCTTTGAACCTGGACCAGAGATCCCTAAGGGCATCCCTGTTATAGCCCCAGAGCCCACTCCAGACTCCACTCCAGTTACAGAAGCGGTCCCTGTCAGTCTTGTCACATCCTCGGAGGCCAATCATGAAGATCTTGTCAGTCATGTAAAGCCCACAGAAAATAATCCTGTCTGTCATGCTGTACCCTCAGAGACTGTCCATGTTCTGGTCAAGGAGGCTGTTCCAGAGAGCCCTAATCTGCTCATTGAAGCCACCTCAGAATCCCTTGCCAGTCATGTCTTGCCTACCAAGAATATCCGGGAATCCGCCCGTAATACCCAGTCCAGTAGGAGGCCCTCGCCTGTAAAACGTGTTCCTGTTGGGAGAGGAACCAACGGTGGCACCTGTCTGTCCCGGTCTGCAAGGGTTCCCAAGGCCGGCACCACCCTGGTCAGTCCTAAACCATTCCCCTGGAACATTTTCCGCCCCCCCTATCCCACCCCCTGTGTATCCTGACAGGCCTGGACTTCCATGGGTCCCTACCCACCCGCCCCCCCAGTCAGTACCGTTTTGGCCCCCTACCAACGCTGTGCCCCCTTGGACTCCACCTTGGATGGACGCCTGGAGGCGTCCTTTGGAGGGGGGGTACTGTCAGGATCCTGC